TTTGGTATTTGATTTGGGGTTTTTTATCATGGAAAATCAAAGCTCCTCCTGCCCCCTTTGCTCACCAGGTCAAGGTCCCACACTTCAAAGCTGCAGACCCCCAGCCCTGCGGGTGCCTCTCACTCCCCATCTGCAGCCCCCCAACCCTGCTGGAGGGGGTCGTTAGCTGCCAGGGCTACAGGGCTACGGATCTGGGTCTGCAGCCTCCTGCCCCCCACAGCAGCACCCGAGCCCTGGCTGCCTCCTGCAGTGGAGCAGAGTCTAGTTCCCCCTCCCCCCGGGCAGCACAGCAGGAGTGGAGCCTGGGGCTGGTGTGGGCTGCCTGCTGTGGGCTTGGGGCTCCCTGCCATGCTGCCCTCTCCTCAGGACCTCTGTGGCCCAGTGGGTGGGATCTGGCGCAGGGGAGAGCGGGGCTGGGTGGGGAAGCTCTTCACCACTGTGAGCTCTGCATTGCCCTGGTGAAGTGTCCTCTGCCCGCCTGGCAGCAGCGAGAGCCACAACCTGCTGGGTAGGCAGGGGGCGTTTTGCCAGAGCGGTATGGGGCTCGCAGCAGCAAGGAGCTTCCTTGCCCAGCCCTGTTCTGTCCTGCCGTGCCAGGTTCTGTCTGCTAGGCCATGGAGGCCCCGGAGAAGGCAGCTGGGCAGGGAGCCCGAGCCTGCAGCAGGCAGCCTGCCCCTACCCCGCACACAAATCTGCGGGAATGTGCCCCCCCCCTCCACCAGCCCCTGCCCCCCAGACAAGCTGCCTGCAGCCCTGTCCTGCTCTCTGCTTGGGCTCTATGACCATGCATTCCAGCCTTGGGCCGGCCCAGTGCTGGATTTAGGCTTAAGCTACTTAAGCTACATTTTAGGGCCTTGCAATATGAGGGGCCTATAAATAAGAAAAAAAAAAATAGAAATTTTCATCCTAATATGACAAAAATATACATATATATGGCTCCACAGTTATTATTCATACTGAGTTCATAAACTTGTGCAAAGATAACGGTAATTCACTTTAACTTTTCATGGAAATCCATTTTCGTGGATAATTTTTATTGTATGGGGCCTCTTAAACTGGACGTAATTTAGGGCCTCAGCATGTCATAATCTGACATTGTCTAGGCCCCAAGCCTCATGCCCTGCCCCAAGCTGGGCAGCAGGCCCATCCCCAGCCCTGCACAACTTCCTCCCTCCCTATAGGGGCCTCATTCCTGTCGTTCCCCCTCCCCCCGACTTACCTGCAAAAGCTGCTCTCCAGGCTACCTGGCTGCCGTGTGCACATGCACATGGTGCCCCCTGCCTGAACACCCTTTTCTCATTGCCCCCAGCCCCATGCAGGCTGGAACTCTTCCAGCCTGCAGAGAGCTCTTTGCAAAAGTGGAAAATCTGTGTGTTTCTCTGTTAAAATGAGAAATCCATGTTTTTCTCAGTTAAAAGGGACAATGCACTTTTTTTTCCATTTTTCCTTGGGAAACGGTAAATCCAACGGTAAACCAATCAGATCCTTGCTGATAATGTAAGTGCATTGAAAGGTAAAAGAGATTAGATGTATGGAGAAGAAATGTAAACCCATGTAGAATGGAATTAGCCTATGTATGTTTGTGTCGTAAATTATCCAGTGTCATTTTGACAGTAATGAGAGAACCAGTCTGTCATCCAGGCTGTTGGCAGATGTTAAGGCAGCCGCACAATGGGGTGGGGGTTGAGGAAAGTTACGCCCTTTTCCTCAGATTGTAAGACCTGCCCTGCCATGTGCACAGTGGGTCACACAGTTCTTGGAATGAGACATAACATTCCTGAAACCCCAGTTGTGTGACTGCTAGTGTGTGTGTGGGAGGAGCACCTGCAACTGGCAACGGGAAGCTCCCTAATTCCACCTGCACCCCGAGTGAATGCGGAAGCAGCAGCTGGGGAGCCGGGAGCTCCCCGCTTCCCAGGTGCTGTATCCATGGGTGCTCAGGAACATAGAAGGTTGGGGCTCCCAACCACACATTTTAAATGTCTGGGGTCCCAAGAGCCCAACTTTGGGGAAAAAGTGTCAGGCTGATGGTGCACTCCCCAGTGCAGCTACAAATGGGGGAGGCCCTCCATCCCTCACTGCACACACTGCATAAAAGAGCGTCCAGCCATGAAAGCTCCCCCATCCCCAGCTGCACACTGCATTTTCTAGGGATAGAGAAGGAGGCAGCTGGATTCAGGACCTGGAGTTGCTTCCAGTCTGGTTCTGCCAATTGAGCCAAACGGAGGCTTTGTCCCAGGCTCCAGGGCTGCCTGGCACCAGACCTCAACACTCAGCTGAGCATCAGGATTTGACAATAGTCAGCCCAAGTCCTGTTCTGGAGCCAAGTTGTCCTCTGTCCAATCTTCAGGATCAGTTGAGAGAGCTGTATCCCAGACCCCAGAGCTGCCCCATGCCCTAAGGCTGACCAGGATCCACCACCTTAAAGATCAGGGGCTGCAGGGCAAAGTTCTTTGAAGTGCGAGGCCATGGTGAGCCCATATCCTTATGATGACAGTCAGCTGATTGTCCACATCAGGATGACGGGGCATGCCACATGTTCAATTTACAGCATGCTGTTACCCAGCTACAAACATGTTACACATTTTTCTGAGTAATATTTTCATAGATTTCATAGACATTAGGGCTGGAAGGG